TTTTGAAACCTTAAATTCAAGTGATAAATTTTTTACAATGTAGAGGTTAAATTTAAAAGATTTATCAAATTTTATTTTTTATATATTTGAAAAAAGGAATTGTACATTATGAGACTATTTATTTTTAATATAAAGATGTCACAATCACGTTTAGCTCTTAGATGTAAAATAAAAAAGATAAAACTGTCACAAAATTCAAAAGAATTTACTTTGAAATTTGTGCCCAAATGACAAATTCTCACCCACTTGATTTCAAATCTAATGAATCACCCACTTAATTTCAAATCTAATGGCCTGATAATAATTATGACCTTCTTATACAAAATAAATAAATGATGCCATTGCATAAATTTCTTCAAAAAAAACATCATCATGAGACTATCCAATAGGGCGAGATCCATGAATATTTCAGAAACCCAATTATTTTAAATGGTAATAACTTGATGTCTTTCACTAATCCCAAATTCCTTCCATGCACGGCGTCTTCCAAAAAGAGCATTTACACAGTATGCTCCCATGGGAGCATAATATGCTTCCATTACTCGGTCAACAAATAAGAGAGACGAAGTGGCCAATGGAAGGAACGATAGAGAGGGTCTTTTTTGGTTGACCGGGTTCGAATGAAACAGAATGAATAAATGTGTAAAATGGTTCTCCCTGTCTCATCAAATCGTGGTCAGAAATACGCGGCCCCCTTTTCCCATCGTTCGTTGTAAGGTTGTTACCTTAGACAAATTGCACCCATTGTGCATATATATATATATATATATATATATATATATATATATATAACCAACATGTTTAAAATTGACTCGGCCAAGGTATTTGGGTTTTGGTAAAGTAACTCACCCAAGTCCAAATAATTCACTTGAGTTAAGTGTACATAAAAAAAAAAACTAAAAAAAATGCCACAAAAGGGTGAAAACTCTAAAAATCTTTAAAACCTAAAAAAGTTAAAATATAATTTCATCTCTAATTATAAAGCCAAATACATGAACTCGGCTGAGCTATTTGAAGTATTTGTATAGAGCCAAATACTTGGACTTCTTTCTTTCGTTTTCTTTTTCTTTTGTTTTTTTTTTCTTTTTTTGTTTTTGTCAGATTTTGAAATATTCAACATATAAATCTACTTTTTCAACAATTCATCTTTTGTAGTTTTCTCTCATCTTATTTTATCTTCTAATAATTATATTAATCCTTTAAACGTTTTTTGGTTTTTAAACTTTAAACGTTTTTTGGTTTTTAAAGATTTTGAGAGAGTTTTTACCCCTTTTTTAGCTCCTTTTAACCTTTTCTTTTGGGTACACCCAACTTGGCCACGTTACTCGGACTCAGCTAAAGCTCGGGTACATTAGCCAAGCTGATTTTCAATGTGTTATTTATCAAATTTCTCCTTCTTGAACTCTGCATTTGAAAAGTTTATTGTTCTTATTGATAACCTCAAACTAGGTTATGATACCACATGTGCGTAAAAACTCCAAAACACGTTGACTTTTGAGACATGAAAGGCGAAAAAAAACACAGTAAACGAAAAATAATATAATATGGAGAAAAGAAAAATCCAATGAGAAAGACATGAGGCCCTCCAACTTTCCCCATCTTTTTGTTTGGATTCCTGGCCCTTATACATTCAATCTTGGACCGAAATGACCATCCCAATCCACATAGGACATGACTATTCTCTAAATAATAGTAGGTTGTTAATAAGAATCTGCGGTTAATAGGAACTTTCCTAACTAACTATGAGGAAATACCATAATCAATGGGATTCAATGCATTATAACATCATCATCTACTACCGATAGCAAAACAATAATAAGTAGAAGTTTAGTCGGAGAAAATGAGAAATTGTTGGATTTGGCCCTACAACAAGCTGAGTTAGAATATAATAACTCTCCAAATTGATTAATTGGGAAGATTAATTTTACAATGATTTGTGATATGTCTTTATGAATTTTCATGACTTAGTAACTTTACTTGAGTGTGAGAATGTGGATCCAATCTTAACGTTTAGAGAGAGAAAGTATGTTAAAATTTTAGAAAGAGAAAGTATGTTAAAATTTTAGAGGGAGAAAGTACCAATTTTTTAAAGAGATGAATTATCTAAAAATTTTAGAGATAGAAATTATCTCAAAATTTATGTTTGAGAGAGAGAAAGTATGTTAAAATTTCAGAGGGAAAAAGTATGTTAATATTTTAGAGAGAGAGTACCAAATTTTTTTAGAGAGATAAATTATCTCAAAATTTTAGAGAGGGAGAAACTATCTCAAATTTTAAGTTTGAGAGAAACTATCATATTTTAGAGAGAGAAAGTACATGCAAATTTTTAGAAGAGAAACTATCTCAATTTTTAGAGAGAGAAACTATTTCAAAACTTTTTAGAGAGAGAACAATCTCATAATTTAATTTTTAGAGAGAAAAACTATATCAAAATATTAAGTTTTAGAGAGAGCAAGTATTTTTAAAATTGTAAACAGAGAAAGTATTCCTAAAATTTTAGTTATAAATTCTAGAAAGAGAAACTGTCAAAAAAGTTTAGAGAGAGAAATATATCATTTTTTAGATATAGACACTATTTTGAATTTTGAGTTTTAGAGAGAAACTATCTCGAAATTACAATTTAGAGACAAAAAATATATTAAAATTTTAAAGATAAAAATTATATCAAATTTAGAGGGAGAAATTATTTAAAAAATTTTAGAGAAAGAAACCATTTCAAAATTCTTGGAAAGAGAAACTATCTTGAAATTTATTTTTTAAAGAGAGAAAATATTTTAAAATTTTGGAGAGATAAACGATATCAAATTTTAGATGGACAAAGTACATGAACTTTTTAGAGATAAACTATCTTAAAAAAATTTAAAGAGAAATTATCACAAAATTTAAGTTTTAGAGAGAGAAAATCTCAAATTTTCAACTTTAGAGAGAGAAAGTATATCAAATTTTAGAGAGACTATATCAAATTTTAGAAAAAAGCTATTTTAAAATTTTAGAAAGAGAAACTATCTCAAACTTGAAGTTTTAGTAAGAAAAATCACCTTAAAATTTAAAAGAATAACTATATCAAATTTTAGAGACAGAAAATACATAAACGTTCTTGAGAAAATTACGTTAATATCAGTTATAATATCCGTTATTACGGATCCACCTTTTAGTTTTCGTTCTTACCTGGATATCCAATTTTTACCTTTCATAATGCAATTTTTTTGAAAAAAAGAAGTTTTACCCTTTTTCTGGTGTTGAACAACCGAACTCAAAAGAATTTCGTTTGTTCAAAAACCGAAAACATGACTAGTTGGTTTTCACTTCCCGCTATGGTTTCGGTTGTTGAACAACCCAAATTAGAGTTTTTGGGTATTGAACAACTGAAAGTCTAATTTTGGTTGTTGAACAATTGAAAATCAATCAAATTCGGTTGTTGAACAACCGAAATGTCATATTTTCATTTTTAGTAGTTGAACAACCGAAAATCATATGATAAAGAATGGACAACTATAGGAGAGAGATTTTGAGGTCTATCCAATAATTTAACAAACTAAACTTTCCACTTTAACCTACATACTCTCTGATAGTTTACCCTTCATATTCCCAATCTAAGGTATATATAAATAATAGATAAACATAGGGGAGAGTTTAAAGGGTAGAGAAGAGTTTAAATCCACTTAATATTTATTTATTCTCTCTCATATGTTTATCCATTCTCTCTCTATACCTTATATGTTCTCTCTTTTATGTTGATCCATTCTCTCTCTATACCTTAGGGTTTAAATTCTTTGCTTAGTTTATCCATTCTAGAGCATTTCGATTGTTCAACAACCGAATATCCATTGAATTTCTGTTGTGCTACAACCGAAAAAAGGGAAAAATAAAAAATCCAAAAAATATGTGAGAAAATTTTTTTGGTTATTGAAGAACTGAAGATTTAAAATTTTCAGTTCTTTAACAACTGAAAATTTTGAATTTTTCGATTTTTTAAAAACCGAAATCGACCTGATTTCGATTGTTGAACAACAAAAAATCCATTGAATTCAGTTGTTCAACTGCCAAAAAAAGGTAAATTGTTTTTTTTTTTTTAATTTTTGTTATGGTGTGAAAAACACCTGACAGTTAGGTAATAGCAGAAAGTATTTGGTAGTTTCGTAATAACGCAAATTATAATGGATATGTATGTAATTTTTTCAAATTTTTTAGAAGAAACTATTTCAAAATTTGTAGAGAAAAATTATATCAAATTTAAACTTTTAAAAAGAAGTATCTTAAAATTTGACAGAACTATAACATATTTTAAAGAGTAAAACTACTTAAAAATGTTTAGAAAGAGACTATCTCTAAATTTTTGAAGAGGGGAACTATCTCAACTTTTAAATTTTAAGAGAGAGACTATCTTAAAATGTTAGAAAAAAAACTATAGTAAATTTTAAAGAGTGTAAAGCACCTAAAAATTTAGAGAGAAATTATCTCAAAATTTTTAGATAGACAATCTCAAATTTTAAATTTCGGATAAAAACCATATTAATTTTTAAAGAGAGAAACCACATCAAATTTTAAAGAAAAAAACTATATCAAAATTTTCTATTATACACCTTCTCGAATTTTGAGTTTTAGAAAGAGAACGTATAAACATTTTAGGAAGAGAAATTATACTAAATTTTGTTCTCAAACAATGGACATAGAAGTGATTGCAAGAAATCCATGAATTTTGTATAGTCCATCCAAACAAGAGATCTGAAGAATCCATGACAAAAATCCTTGATATTAATAATCCACGAATTTTTTTAAAATTTTAAATATCTAAGATTCTTAATTTCCTCCTATCGAAACAGGTTCTAATAACCGTCTTGCTATTCTCCTTTTTTGTTGCTTAGTTGTGTAGGTCCTAACACTGAAAAGTGGACGGATTTATTTTATTTTTATTTTTTTTGAAAGCAAAATAGCGGACGGATTTAATTCCGCTCGCTCCTTTCGAGGAAGCGAGAGAGAGTCTTCTAAAAGTATCCATCAAAAATAATATTTTTTTAACACTTCAATCTGCATAAATAACTGGTACTTCGGAATAAAAAGGGCAGAGGAAAAAGACAGAAGATCCAAGAACTCAAAAGAGCAACCCATCTCATTCCCTTGATGCTCACAAGGCATAATCCACGCGTAGATCATACTGTAGATGAACCTGTTCCAAGTAGGCTCTGCATTGAAACTCTTCCCATGAGGTTGAGAATTGAGAGGATGATGACAACCTGCCCCAAATTCAGATGATATTTTATTCATTAGCAAAAAAATCAGTAGTTTGATAGAAATAGAAATAGTTGTTTAATTTTGGACCCAGAAAATATAATATCTCAAACACATTTTAGCATGTGACATCCACATCATGAGAAAAATATAAAATAAAATAAAAGAAAATGATTCAGGAAGAAATCCCTAGGTATGAAAAGACAACCAAATAAAAAAAATATTGAGATCAACCAACTAATAGATGGAAATCAAACGACTGAAAATTGAAAATAACAACTAATATAAACCAAAAACAAAAGATTGAGATCAACCAACTAATAGATGGAAATCAAGAGAGAGAAAATTGAAAAGAACAACTACTATAAACCAAAAGAAACCAAATCATGAAAGAACAAGAGCACAATTGGGAAACAGAAAAAATAAAACCTTAATGCAGCACGGAAAGGGATTCAAGGATGTATATCCATTTTACTCCTTTTAGTGCTCATATGATAAATCAAAATTGCCCAAGAAGGCCCTTTTCTAAAAACACATACCCACAATTCAGTAAGTAAAGGAAACAATGAACAATTAAAAAAATATTTATTAATTGATATATATAACAACAATAACTAATGGCCCAAAAAATTTTCATAAGTTTCTTATCTTAATAATCAAAAAAATTAAACAAACATTAGTTGGCTAGATATATGAAGCTTGCAAAGGAATCCCTCATAGATACGTGTACCTTGAAGAAAAGTAGCCAATCCTTTCCCCGGGAAAGAGACTTGAGAATGCCCACCATCGAATTCCACGTACAAACCATGGAGGCAACAATTTGACGTGTCACCTCTTCCGAGCTATGAAATGATGATGCCTGAAGTTTCTCTATTTTGTAGCCCAATCTGCACCAAAATCCATTCCATGTAAACCTTCACTGGAGAAGTTCTTTGACGATTGAGCTTAAAATAAACTCCAAAGAGTTAGATATCAAAATACAAAATTACAGATACAACCAAGGATGTCTTACACTGATGAAGGCAACAGGCCATGGATGAATAAGAAAACAGTCATCGCCAGAAAAAGTTTCGAAACAGCAGTAATGAAGGTGGATCCAGAGGGAAAAAAGTAAAAATAAAAGAGAAAGAAAGACAGCAAAATCCCCAGTGTCTGCTTCACATCTTTCCACAGCAATATGTCAGCAGCTGCAACAAGAGATTTACTTCCGGTTCAGGATTATCAAAGCAAAATATGCAGAAGAAACTTACTTGGAGAAAGTATACTATATAGTTCATTAGACTATGGGATTATCCATAGTACCAATTGAAGTCAGCACTCTTGGATGGAATGATGTGCAACTATGGACAGAGAGTAGGACCCAATATCAGGGTTATACCAGGTTCTGTTGGGTTCCCCTCTATCTCCACCATCACCGTGCATCATATCAATTGTTGGTGATGACCCCAATGGACTAATGTTTACCCATGGTCCAGGAGAGATGAGACTATGGTTTACTTTATCATATACTTAATAAGCTCCTTTTATTTACCCCATCCTTCTCCCACTAATATAGAAGCCTTTGATGATGTTCTTTCCGCTTTATTCTCAGCTCTCAGATTAGGATAGGACTCCAATGTCCTTTTCAGACCTTCCTGCAAGACCAGAGAAGGGCCTCAATAATCCAACTCCAAATAGGAATTCCTTTGGGAAATGTATACCGTGTTCGAGAGACTAAAACATAGTCCCAAGGGGTCATCACAGTCCAATCAAATGGACAGTGATAGAATGAGAGTAGAACCCACGACACCAGGAAACTACCTTGATGGTGGATCCCACAATCCCTCAAGCACTGTCCGTCATTTCATTGGTTGGTGATCATCCCAAATTTTCAGAGTCCAACTCATCCATGGCTTGGCTGCATATTTGTATTTCTTTAATGCAATGCGGTGCCAAAACAAACCTCAAGTGGCACGTGCAGAGTATTAGCTCTTGAACAATTGAAAGTTCTATTACAGGTGAGAAGCCTGACACGTGAAGGTGTCACCTGAGGTACACTCATTCCATACCGACCTAGTTTCCCATACATCCACTCCATTATGTGTGCAATTGGCATCACAACAGATGCAGGAACCTTAATCTTTGGCCCGTAAACCAAATGATGGACTTTAAAAAACATTTATATTGGCACAGTGAAGTTTTTCATTTATTTTTTCATTAATATACTAAAGTGGAATACCAAGAGGAAAGTATACGACAATCCAAGTGCCGATAAAAACATAGTCCATTGGAATCAGTAGCATCCAATGAAATGATGAATGGTGAAGGCGAGAGAGTGAGACCTGCCAGAAGTTAAGGACCCCAACAGTGCACCCACTCTCTCTCCACAACCATCTATCGTTTCATTGGATGGTGCCAAAACCCCATGGACCATGGTTTTCCATAGTGCTATAATAAACTTACCCTATATCCTTTCCCAAATCAAAGAGTTGCATAGGAGAAAAACGTATATACAAATGCCATCTAAATGGAAGGTGGTCATAACCCCAAATGGCAGCAGTTTTTAATTAAGGCATACTGGGTAGGAGTGTGTGCAAAAAGATAAAAATGAAAATGTTTTCTAACACAATGTCAATCATGAATTTGCAGGTGAAGAGATAGAAAAGCCACTTTTCTTTTGTCATTCTTAAATCATCTACCTTTTAGATTCTAGTAAGTTCCCAATCTGGGAAAAGTATCATATGGGCATTTTCATAGCATACAGTTGGATTGCAAAAAGAACATACTGAGAATCTACAAACTTTCTATCACAAGAACTACAAATATGGTTAATGGCAAACCCCACGTAGAGTTTTACAATTCCAGAAATGCCCATAGAAACTAAACAATTCATTAACGTATATTTACAATAAAAAAATAGCATAACCTCAAAATGACAAAACAGGTATCTGATTATCAAAATGCTAAGTAGAATAGTACATGCAGAATAAAAGGGAGTCAGAGTCCCATTGAACAGAACGCTAGAAAGCAATTACAAGGATAACAAATGGAGTAAGATAAAGCAGAAAAACAAAGAGCAAGCTTCCCTAATAACAGTAGCTATAATGCTGATGGAGGGCAAATTATTCTTATTTTTTATTTGTATTCAACTTTAAAGATGACATGTATATTATAGTGTTAGTTTTAGGAGTTATTTCTAGGGTTAATTAGTTTTTAGGAATTCCATGGTTTTTATAGTTTTTTATTTATTTCACGAATACTATTCATAAGTACTATTCACAGGCATTGTTCATAAGGGCAAAACTATTGATACAAAATTTAAGCTTAAGTTAAGATATATAGGCCATTTTAATCATTTTATGGATATGCAACGTCTTTGAACATTGAATTGGTATTATAAGAAGTGTGCAAGGGCCTTGAGAGGGTCAATGCCACATGATTTTTAAAAATTGAAAGAGGTAAAAGCTTAGAGAAGAAACATGTAGTTTCTTGCTTGTGTTTAGCTTTAGTTCATTTTGATTTTACTACTCCCTCAAATTTTCCTGCATCAAGTGGTATCAGAGAGCGATTTACAAGAAAAGTATTATAGCAGTATATGGAAGTACTGCAGCAGTGTACAAAAATACTGTAGCATCAACTTTTTTGGTGCCTTAAGTCAACAACAAAGTGGGGAAATTACATTGGGGATCTAGGGTTTACTGATTTTGGTTAAGGCTTTGCCAAAACATCCTAGATCTTGCTGATTTCAGTAGTTTTTTGTTGATTATTTGCCTAGGGTTTGTAATTTCAGCGAATCCATGACAACAAGAAGGGGCCGTAGAAGGGGGATTTTCATAGATCCACTCCATGATCCCATAGATAATAGAATTGAAGAACTGAAAGGCAAGTACAACAACAGGCGCAGCAGTTCGCAAGCCTCAATAAAAGGTAAAACAGTGATCTTTTCGCCCAAGAAAATCTCAAATATGAGTCTTTTCACTTTTACGCCCCGTATGGGGAATTGACTGATGAGATAGTGACAAAAGACCTAGATGTGGGGAACATCACTCTAGGAATTTCGATTTAGAGGATGAGATTCTTGATTTTGACATAAATCGTATCGAAAATCAGATGTAAATTGGGATCTGCCACCAATCTTCGACACATACTTTAATGAAAAACAAGATCTTGTAAAATATCTAGTCTACGATGGTGATCTTTGTGATTGAAATGATATTAGACAAGGAAAAAGAGCTCAAAGGAGAATTGATAGTTTAGGGTTACATGGCTGACGTGATGCAATTTTAACAAACTTATGTGACTAAAAATATTCTACCAACATACAATGATGTTTTCCTCGGGGGTTTCTCAATTTTAATACACAATCGTTGTGTTTTGATTAGTCCAATAACTCACAAGTCCCAGGATCATGTTTATAATATTCGAGTTGAAGAATGTTGCCGAACTGTATTCTTAGTTTATTTTTTAATTCAACTTTAAAGGATGTATATTATAGTTTCAGTTTTAGGACTTTATTTCTTAGTTTTTAATAATTCTATGGTTTTTATAGTTTTTTATTTATTTCATGATAACTATTCACAAGTACTATTCACGAGTACTATTCACAGGGGCAAAATTGTCATTGCAAATTTTTTTTGATGAATGAAAATTTAAGTTTAAGTTAAGATGTGTAGGTCAGTTTAATCATTTTATGATATATAATGTCTTTGAACATTGAATTGTTATTATAAAAGGTGTGCGGAAAGGAAGGGGGGGGGGGGGAGGGCATGAGAGGCTCAATGCCACTTGATATTTAGAAATTGAAAGAGAGAAAAGCTTAGCCTTTTGCAACCCTAGCTTGGGTGTGGAGATGAAACTTTTTGTTTCTTCGACTTAGGATTGTGTTTAGCTTTATTTCTTGTTATTTTACTGTTTCCTCAAATTTTCCTGCATCAAATGCATGTTCTATTTGTCATACATTGAATGGAGTAGACCGCAACCAATGGTCTACCTTAGAACAAACCCATAATATACAAATTATCTCGTTCTCTGATATATATGTGTGTATCTTAGGGGTAGGGGAGCTACCTTATTTATTTTGTATTGTCAATAAGCTAACATGCCCAAATACATATATGAATATCGATAGATATAAAGGAAGCGAGACTCAGCATTTCCCAGTATAGGTTAAACATGTTATGGTACATCATTGTGGGGCCCGAAATTTACCACATCGCATGAATCTGCCATTGTGAAAAACCTCAGCTCGCCGCATGTCAAAAAGGCCAAGCTCGGCATGCATTTATCAAGAGACGCCCAAAATTTGCCTAAGTACTGCCCATGCCACAATTATCAGTAGTATGCTAAATGGCAGCCAACAAAGGACATGTTGCACATGATCAATCACTGCTTGAGATGTGTCACTTGGGAAATGCTAATAGCCTAGCTGAAGTACCATACCTCCACCTGCAGCAGCTTCTAGAAGATCATGAAGGAGATCATGCCAGTTCTAGGAGAAGCTGCTTGTAGACAACGCATCTCCAAATAGGCCAAAAGAGGATGCAGGCTTTGCCAACCCAACTTTTGTGGCATCCACGATGGCAATGGTTGATAACGAGTCTCTTCAGCCCAATGATATTGAAGGGTCGATATCTGAACCTTCTGAAGCTTAGTTATTCATCCACTTCAGAAGGAGAATGGGAGATCTACCTAAGCAAACATGAGCACCAGAACCTACATCAAGAAGCTCTATGGTAGGCAAGGATCTCATCATGAAGGGAGACTTCTACTGCTATCTGTAGGATCCATTAAGCCTACAGCTCACAAAGCCAAAGAAGAACTCATTCTTCCCATAAGAATGCATAAGAAGCCCAAGAATCCTCTCTTCAGACGAGGTCTCCATTGCCCACTCTCAACAAGTTCAGCCCCTTGTCTAAGGCACGGCCTTGAGGAACAAGAAGAGGACCATCAGGATCCATTATGAAGCGACCCATACCTCATGGCCCATGGCTTATACAACTAATGCCTCATGGCTCATGTCCTATGCGTCTCATGCCTGATGGATTATGTTCCATGTGCTTATGGCTCATGGCTCATGTCTTATATGGCTTATGCCACATGGCTCATGTCCTTGTGACTTATGACTCATAGCTCATGTCTTATACGACTCATGGCTCATGGCTCATGTCCCATATGACTTACGCCTCATGGCTCATGTTTTATATGACTCATGGCTCATGTTTCATGTGACTTCTGCCCTTACAGAGTCATGTGAAAGCCAAATGGAAGGCCCCTTCATGATAAAGGTCTACTCCAATAGCACCTACCTACTTGCACATCAATTCTCACATTCCGTAGGAATACCGACTCTCCATGTCTTTCTTTGGGTGACCACAACTTCCTCGAGTGGATTAATAAACCCCAATGAGTCACTTTTGACTGCCCATAGTTGGTCCATGCTACATGACCCCAATAAGTCAAATTGATCATTTAGTAGGTCCATATAATAAGATCAAAACTGCCGGGTACAGGTCTAGGCACAATCTGGTAGAACAGCCCCCATCTTCCATCCATATCAAATTCCCCTTCTTAGGCACATGAGCCTAAGGAAGCCCCCTTTTGTCATTCAGATACGGATGTGGTCAGCCCCCTGAGGATGTCATAAGGACATATGCCCAACTGTGAGTTCATGTTTGCTTTTTTATTTTGGCTTTCATTGAACATATTGTACTAGTCCACAGGCAATGATGCAATATTATGTGATATCCTAGACACATGACGCTAAACTGCAAGGTCACAGTTGAGTCCACAACTCGAAAAATGGTGGCCTGCTTTTCTTGTAGGGGATATGGTAGTCCACATTTAGGCCCCTCCTATACAATGCCAAATTGGAAGGTGTGTTTGTCCTTATCACATGACATTAAATCGCATGATGCCCCCTCTCCTTTTATGCTGATATTGGCAATACAAGGAGATTGGTTTGCACCATGGTTTTCTTGCGAGCTGATGAGGAGCATGATTAGTAAAGCTTCTGCCTGCCTAAAAAGAGAGAACTTCTCATACAAAGAAACAAATCCGAAGAGTTACGTGAGACTCTAGTCACACGCATGTGACTATACTGAATCCTATGGTAGCCTATACCCAGAATGGAGCATTTTAATAAATGATATATGATGATGAATCCTTAGAAATAAAAGCTGCATGATGCGCACTAAGCTACTCAGAGATTACACAAACAAGCGGACTTTGGTTATACAAGTATATTGTGAGGTTGGATCATCATATAATCACACTGAAGTATATTGCAAGTTAATATTGTGAATGGGGTTCAAGTTTCATAGGACTGATGTTTTAATAAATACATATAGTGATACAACGCCACTTGCAAGTCGGTATCAGAGGAGGATTATAGGCATATATGCATGTTGAGGCTTTTGGGAAAGATTGGGCTTTATTTATTTGTACTTAAGTAGACATCTTCGAACAAACCTATAATGCAACATATGCGCATGTACGCTAGATTGATCCCACTTTTTAAATTCCTATAAGAAGTCCATATCTGATCATCACTCAGGGATCTCCTCCATTAACCCAAAATAAGTTGAATTTGTTAACACTTCAAAAAAAAAACAAACCAAAATAAGTTGAATGTCACACTTAGCGTTATGTCGCACATGCAAGCTGTGAGAGGGCATCTGTTTGGGTGTGTTAGCAATATCAAAGTAGTTAGAATTTCGGAATGCCTTGCGAATAGCGCATTGTACACTTGTACATCAAATTTCATACGATAGAGTGATTTGAAGTGTGTTCTAAATGTTTGTTGTGAGCTACAGGACTTGTCAATAGCCTTCCTAGTGAACATTAAAAAAATGGAGCAAATGGTGTCTGTATGTTCCAAACTTGATGAATTGCTTTAAAACGGACATTTAAGCTCCATTTCCAAATTTCATAGAATTTGTTGGGGTTTGTGATAGCATGTAAATATATTAAATTATAGTGGATTGTACACTTCAATGGGAGCATACTGTGGTTGTCTAATCTAAGGTTGGCCGGTCAATGGCCCGAGTCACGTCCAAAGCCCTTACCCCTAGGCATGTGGTACTACTGTTGAGGGTTTCTAAATGGTCATGCCTTGTTGAAGTTGGAGAGATACTCTAAGACGTTGTTTGTAGACTGAGAGAGTTGTGTGGTCTCCTGTATGTAGATGTAGGCTTGTGAGAGTAAAGGCCAAGTCCTCAATAAAACTTCCATGGCATGTACATATGACAACAACATTTTTTGGAAGCAACCTTTTATAGAGGAAAACGTGTACTTGTGCATAAAAAGAGCCCCCTTGCACTATAATGACATGTGCATTTTGACTTGCTCTTAAGGAGAGAAAATGTAATCCACATACTAAGAGTCTAGGACTATGATTCTAATATTTATTGGTCAACTTTGACTAGCCAATCATGAATCTCTACATATTTATTGGTCAACTTTGACTAGCCAATCATGAATCCCTACATTTGACTATGAATAATGGGTCTTGTTGGATTTATTTAAAGGACAGTTGTGGATCATGGATCGTGGCACGAGTGGATTGCCATTGACATCACTTGTTTTTTACCGATTTTGGTAACTTCTAACTCCTAAGTAGAATCTTTGTGTGTTCTATATATTTTTTTTAAGACTCTAAAAATATGTTTTAAACTAATATATGTTTTGTGATTTAACAATATTTTCTTCAGAATTTTAAAATTGTTTTTAAAATGCATAAAAACCCCTAAAGGGTATTTCTGTAATTCTTAAATAAGAGGGTATTTTAGAAAATATTTTAAACAGGTGGGATGCATGTGGTTGGAGTGGGGGAGGACTAAGGACCAGCCCCCACATGAGTGGAGCCCACATGGGTGGCACATTGAGCCCACATGGGCCACATGCCCCACTAAGTCGGATGCCCCATTAATTCTTTATTTTGGATATTATTTTAAGGGTGTTAATTTTAAAAGGGACCAAATATCTAGGCGAGTTTATCTTAATGTATTTTCTCAGTGAAAATCATTTCATTGGACATGTTTTTTTTTGCGATCTAGATTTTCTTTGACCAAATTTGAATTATTTTGAATTCCTTATTATCCTTTTGTGAGAGATAAGGAATCCTAGATAATTCTAGATAAGTTTGCACATAAAAATTTGACTGGTCAAAGTCTAGATAAATTAAAAGTAGATATGGGTCAAATCTCAAGGGTTAAAGTTCTCAAATATTTACTCTAGATCATGATGGCTGATCTTAGAGATGGATGGCTCAGATTTTTTTTCTCTCTCACCTCGCTGATTACCTAGAAATTTTGGATAATGCTGAATTGTAGTCTTATTAGGACACCCTAGGGCCCTTGTGGCCTATAAAAGGAGGGGGGACCTCCCCTCATTCTTTACCCCCAAATTTCATTATGTCATATCTCTCTCTCTCTCTCTCTCTCTCTCTCTCTCTCTCTCTCTCTCTCTAAGGTGGCACGTCTCTATAAAAGGTGGCATGCCTATTAAAGGAGGGGGGGGACCTCCCCTCATTCTTTATACCAGATCGTTTTCTCTCATCTTTCTTCCTCCATGCCACCCTCCCTCCCTCCCGCTCTCTCTCTAAAAGGTGGCATGCCACCCCCCATAAGTGTCTGGGGTTGCGTGCACCTCAAAAGAGAGTTGCGTGCACCTCAAAAGAGAGCTAAGGCGAGGCAACACCTGCTCCTAGTTTTAAATAGGGGAGGTGTCACTTTAAGGCATACCCCAAGGCTTAGAAAGGAGTTTAATAAAACCCTAATTGTGACCCGTGCTCTCAGCCCCATAGTTTCTAGATAAGGGTGTCCCAGAAGTGCTTCTAAAGCTAATATTCATGGATTTAGCGATTTCTAAACAGGTACACCATCTGTTAAGTTATCAGGTGTGGGGTAATGCTAAGCCCCTAAGGGGGCAACCATTGCCAAAAGTCAATAAGCCTTCCCTCAGTTATATAATTCATTTTCTGTTGTTTCCCTTTTTTCTCATTATTTTTTTTTTTTTTTTTTAGTTTCAATGAAATTTATTTTGGTAGTGAGGTTTAAAGATCCTAGGATGTACTAGGTTTATTTTTTATTGCATCTGTGGCATTTGTTAGTAGAATTTCTGGTAATTAAAAAAAATTAAATTTATAGCCTGGAATTCTCTATAGCCAATCCTCTTAGAATTTAGATGACGTTTACTCATGATTAAGAAAGTACACTAGAGCTATATTTTCGACAAGCCGCTTTGTTGTGCTACAATAGGCTGTCAAAATGGAGTTCATAACGAGCTTAAAAAGGAGAATGTAGAGACCTCTAATAAATATGAAAGTAGACTTAGGTGGGCTGGCCATGTGCAGCGTAAACTTAATACAACACCTGTTAGGTGTGACTCGGTTCAAATGGAAGGCTCTAAAAGAGCAAGCATAGGTCCAAAAGGGCATGGATATAACTTTTGGTCTTACTGAGGGCACGACCCTCTCAAGAGAAGAATGGAGGAACATGATTCATCTAGCAAATAATTGGGATAAAGCTTGTATGACGATGTTGATAATGACTGAAAAATGTATTGGGAATGCGAATCTGCAGTTGACGTTTATGTAATTCGACAAAGATAAGGGGTCCAAATAGTCAAATATAGATTATCAGTTTCAGGTGGCAGACAGTGGATTGTGTAGAACAAGCTCACAACAACTCTTCTAGACCATGGTATTGACCACCAATCAAGCTGAAATATTGTGGGCTAATAGATTAAAACTTTTGCCGGATTCAAAGTTTTTGAACACCTATAAGGGGGTTAGTCGAATTAATCTTTGTCCTGTACCAATTTCATGTAGAATAATGCAACACGCAAAGTGGGCTCCACCAGACATAAAAGGTGGATCAAAATTTTTATATTGAAGTACTGAACAAAGGATTTGTGGGCTAGTATAGAGATGTATAAAGACACGAGTTAAAATTTCATGAATTTTTTATGCTAATGAGGGAGTTAAACTCAGCTCACTGCCAGACTGTAGTTTGTAAGATAAGTTGTGTTCACAATGAACTTTTGTGCTAATGTTAAACAATCAAATTTATGATTTTTGGGCTCAAGATTGCCAAGAGATGGTCTTAGAATGATCTAGATACCTTAGATGAGGTTTCCAAAATTTGATTGATCAATTTTGGTTAGGATTTAATAATCTATGAGATTAGACCAAGAATAAAGAAAGTTACCATTTTTGGCTTCAACTTTGAGATTCTTTTCCGCGTTGAGAGAGTTCTTAATGCTGGCATCTTATCAAAGGTTTAGCCAACTTGTAATCTAACATAATTCTTGTGTTCTATAGTTCTGTAGCTTGATACAGATTATAAAAGCTTCTTCCACATCTACTAGATTAGCATACCTCCACAAGGAGTTTAGTCCATTGATATTGCTAAATCCAAGTACCATGTGTGGACCACAAGTTCTCTCCTACAAAGCTTGTCAAGTGGGACCTCCCTTATTCCTGGTAGCAGCAATCAGCTCAGCTACTTTAAAAGACTACAACTTGTCACATCATCTCAATCTTCAAAGTTGCAATGAAGGGTCACTCCCTTATGTAAAGAGAACTCAATATTGTAACCTTGCAATTGGTTGGAAACTTTTTATGTGGTATTAAATCTGGACCCCTCTTTGTTCTACTTTCTCTGATGCGCGCTGGTAGAGTGGTGAACTTAGGGGAACTTTAGGCTATTAGTTGAGATTGTTTTGCACATTGCTTTGAAGGATGTGGTGAGGATTCACCATGCACATGATAGATTATTAAATGACTTGTTCGATTGAAATTGAGACTTGAGACTTGAGCCATTTAGTGCATTAATTATCTTCTTTGTTTTTTTTATGTCATAAACTTTTGGTTCTTGGAGTTTAAACTTTGAAGTTGGACGTTATGTAATATGTACATGTGATTGTGAACTAAATTAAAATAGTACTAGGTAAATCACAAATTTATGTTGTCCTAAGTATTGTTATTGTTTTTTATAATTTTTTAATTTATTGACTGCATTGGAAGCGATTGCTTGCAGAGGGAAAAATCATGGCCATATAGATCATCAGAAACCCAACCGCATTGAGACCACATCCTCAATTTTAAAATACTGATATAAAGATATATTGAATATCTTTGACACGATAGCATGATATTTTTATGATACTTAGATGTCACAAACTATAAATTCCATATATATAACTCAATAATCTACAACTCACAACCCTGCAAATTACAAAGATTAATGTTAGAGTGAGTTGTGATTTACTAATTATGTCGTTTCTTTTCTAAAAAAAGATACCTTTTGTGATATCTTGATCATCAAGTAAGGGTGTTTGTGGAAATATTACTAAAAGACAAAGGGTACTTTTTATGTCTTTATAAGGGGTAAAATTGAAATTTTATTAAAGGCCAATGTTGTTCTACAAATAAAGTTTCAAGGCACTAACTTTCAAAATACCATTGTACTTTGTAAAAATTTCAAATTTGTCTTAATGACTAAGTTACAAGGTAAAATAATTTTTTAAACAAAAAGTAATGATTCTTTGATAAATACACCCATTACAACTCATTCTAAGATTAACCTTTATAATTTTGGGGGGTTGTTTACTCTGGATAAACTTGTATATATATATATATACATATATGGAAAACACTATGCAACGCCTATAGGTGAAAATGAATAGTGATTTCACTTACCCTCATCACTGTCCAAAGTTCATCGCGCGATCACAATTGTCCGATAGTGTTTCATTTTTCATTTTTTTTTATAAATCAGAATGACTTGAAATTTGGAGCATGTGTTCATAAAAAACAGCAGGTATTTTGGTCAATTAGTTTTATGGATAATTTTTTTAATATTTTTATTAGATGCGCCTCAGTAAGTTGTACATACCCTCAAAATTTCAAGTCATTCCAATTTCTAGAAAAAAAATGAAAAATGAAATACTACAGGACAATCGTGATCGCACGATGAAATTTAGACTATGATGAGGTTAGACGAAATGACTATTCATTTTCGCTTATAGGTATTGGAAAGACTTTTCCTATATATATATATATATATATATATATATATATATATAGTAGTGCTATTACTACTACTACGTTCTACCTATAGTAGTAACTAACTAACGTTGGTCTATAGTGTACTACCAACCGAACGGTCCTTCCC